CACGGATTCAGAAGACTGCTTGCTGGTTGAGTTGCGTTGAAGCCCTCTCTCGTACTGAGAAATACTGAAGATGGTCATGAAACCCAGAACCTGAGGACCATATGCTGGCCCATTTGAGCTACACATTGTTGTCCGTCACACACTAACATATCGATCCACAGCATTCTTTTAAAGCATTTACATGTATTTAAAATATGACAAACGTGTTCCTTATAATCTATTGTTGAGTTGTTATCGCCGTCATGTGAATGGCTTCAATGGAGCGCCATGAGATCTTGTAGAAGTATAAACGTCCCAAAGACCACTCCTCGTGCGATCACCTTCTGCATCTCCACCTTCACACTTAAGTTTGTTCATAAGCCAACATCTCATCGGTCACCAAAAGTATATCCTCAAAGTTCCCGAGGTTGCAGGAGATGATTGTCTCCCAGGACAGGAGGCCTTTGAACGAAAAGGGGCAAGCGAAAAAAAAAGCTGAGTCGTTGAGGTCGCTGACCGGGGAAGGCGAAAGAAAAGACGCCACGAGAACGGAGGACCGGGACCTGGAAGGCTGGGAAGACCCTGAGCTGAATTGTATTTGGGTTTGGATGTATCGGCTGCTTACCTTCTAGTGGAGTTATGTCTCACTTCATTGTGAACCCTTCGGATCTTTGTGCCAAATCACGGACCTTGCGCTCCTCCTGTTGTCAATATGATGTGATGTTGCTGCTGACGCTCGGGTTGGAGGAGACGCTGTTATTAATAAAATAATAGAACATACGATAACAGTCACAGGATACTTTGTGGACTCACCGACACTCATCAAATTCCCCTTTCCACCCCCCCGTAAAGATGTGCCAAATTATTGAAAGTGTGCTTAGGCTTCCGGTGTCATTATGAAACAAACATAGTTATCAGTGTATTAGGACTGTGGTGTAATCTCTGGAAGAGTGTGTTCTTGTGATATAACTGTACTACATTAAATACAATTGCTGACTGACCAGTATATCTTACACCTAAGTCTCTCTCATTTCTTTTTGATCCTCTCAAATCCCTAACCCCTCCCCCACCCCCAGCCAATCTGTCAGGCTGAGCGAAACAAGATGGAGATAGTTGCGTCAATTTCATGACCGTATAAGGACCGGCTTTAGGTACGTTGCCGTATATTAGAGAACACATGATGGACTTAAGAATAACAAATAGATAAGAGAAGCCCCAGAGCACCGAGGGTAAGTCATAGAAAAGGAAACGTATACATAGAACAGTACGTGTTGTATTCTTTCAGAACTGTGCATGGAAAGAAGAAGCTAGAGAGCATCTCAAGATAAAATGTTTAAGGACCACCATCTGAGAAAAAGATTGTATTCTAAAAACTAGGGATGTCCCGATAACACTTTTTTAAGACCAAGTACAAGTACTGTCCCTCATGTGCTCGCCGATACCAATTACCGATACTTTTTCTTAAAGGGACATGTGACATTTCTTTCTAAAACAACACAGACTGATGATTTTAGGGCAGTTTCTCGCCAGGGCTAAATACGGATGTCACCAGAACTGAATACATGTCCCCAAAGCCGAACACGTCCCCAAAGCTGAACACATGTCCCTAAGGCAGAATAGTATTCTGCTTTGGGGACATGTATTCTGCTTTGGGGACATGTATTCTGCTTTGGAAACGTGTTCTGCGAATACATGTCCCCAAAGCAGAATTCCTCTCACCAGGTTGCGTGTCGTTCTCACCGGGCGACGTGGACATCTGCAGTGGCTCTGCGGGCACTCCATCTCACCGGCGGTGCCGGGACCTGGCCTCCCCCACGTCCAGACCGGCGATGCTGCCACGTCCAGTCCGGTCGCACCGGCCCAGTCCTCCCCGTCAGTTTGCAGCAGGAACCCCCAGCTTCTAGCTCTGGGACGACCCCTCTGGCTCCCCTACCAGTAGTTCCGCCCCCGGGGCTGTCCATGGCTGTGTCTGTGGCGTGAATGAGGAGGAGATAAAGAACCGGACAGGCACTGCCATGGACAGCTACATGCAGGTCCCCAGCAGGCTGCCGAGGTCACCACAAGCGCCGGCAACTCGGACGGCCACTGCCGTTTGAAAATTTAAAGGGCCGGTATCGGCCTTAAGAATCGTGGCATTTTCACGAGTACAAGTACTTGTGAAAATGCCTGGTATCGGCCCCAAATACCGATACTAGTACCGGTATCGGGACATCCCTACTAAAAACCATGTTTAGTTCATATGTATATTAACATCAGGGCCAGATTAAGAGCACCATGGGCCTGGTGCTGAGGATTTTGGTAGGAAGCAGCAGAGGAGGCTCTCTAATTAAGTGGCCGCTTGCCCCCACGGGGGCTAATATCCCCTAATTAGAGAGGCGCTGGTGTACTATCATTTTTGTGGACCTCATTAGAATGCTGGAAGTGATGCAGTCTCAGCTGTTGGAGGCGTGCTGAGCTCAACGCTCATGCGCACATGTTCTATACTTTTTCTTGACCTATAAAATTTATCAACTGCGTCACCTGCACCAGCTGTTTTCCTGACAAACTTTCTTTATGCGCGGAAGGGGCTTGATGAAGGGGACCCTGCAAGGCTCCGAAAGTACTTGCTATGGAATGACAACATTTGTCAATAAAATTGACTTTTGCTGAACCCTAACAGCTTGGTGTGCTGGTGACATCTTTTACAGACGAGTCTTCCAAGACACAAAAGACATCAATAAAAACCTCATTACTGCAATCCAAAATTAAGGGAAAAATTGAGACAACTTGGGCGTTAACTGAAGGTCCGGTTCAGGTCTGGGAAAGGTGTGTGTGTGCGTTCCCTTATTCTGGCAAAATTTCAAGAGGCTGTGCTCTGAATTCAGGAGCATTGCAGCATCGTTGCCACCCCATCAGATGCATTAGGTCGACTTCAAAGGCCTTCAGATATTTGTGGGACTTTGCAGTGGGACTAAGAGAAATGGTAAGTGCAGATTCACCGATAATGAAGTGCTACAGTGCACCTTTGTGAAATGCGAGGCCTTAGTTCTACTTTAATTCACTTTAATTCACTGGTTGACTTATTTCCTTGTCTCTGCTGAAGACCTCCATCATCTTTCCAGTGGTTCTTTACTAGTGATGCACCGTTGCTAATATCGGTATCGGTGTGAGTATTTGGGGGAGTACTTGTACTTGGCCAAATGCTCCCTATACTTATCCCGATATCGAAACTTCCGCTATCATGAAGCCAGGCGGCAAATCATTACACGCTGCCCGGCTTCCTGATTGGCCAGGAAGTCGTCTCCATGCTCCCTCGTCACTTCCCAATCAGGAAGCCGGGTGACGACTCATTACACACCGCCTGGCTTCCTTAATGGGACTTCCGGTATCGGTATTGGGTATCGCCAAGTACAGTAAAAAAAATATCGGTACTCGTATTTGATACAGAAAAACAGTTTTGGTGCATCCCTATTCTGTACCTGTGAGGAGGAACAAGCCACTGCACAGATCACTGATAGGCTGTCAGTGATCTGGACAGCGGCGCGTTCCTCCTCACAGCCGCCAGTGATAGCCAGAAGCCTGCAATGCCATAGAGACCCAGGCAACCCGCACGGCATCAAGGGGACCCCTTTGTTCCTCGTCCTGGTTGGGCCGCCCTGTGCCCCAGGCCCCATAGCGGCCGCCTGGGTCGCTATGGTGATAGTTCCATCACTGCCCACAGGCAAACTCCAAAATCTTGTGGAAAGCTTTCCATTAAGCAGTGGCGTCACAAAGGGGGTGCGGCCCGCACCCCGGTGACACCATTGGAGAGGTGATACCAAAATGACATTATGATGTCAACCCCCTTCTGAAAAGTCGGGCGCTCGGTCATGGACCGAACACCCGACAGTATCAGGAGAGAGGAGGGGACGCGGCGGCACACCTTATCCCGCCGGGTGACTGTCCCCTCCTCTCTCTGCCGGCGTCTATCACCAAGATGGCCGCCGGCAGGTTTCAAAATACTGCCATGGTCAACTCCATGTTATCCATTCAACTTCATTTGCAGGCTTTCTGACTGCATTATATATATACAGTAGTTGTCTTATGCTAGACACGGTGACATCGATTTACTAAGGAAGCGGAGCATTTTGAAGTTTAAAGTAAATTTTCACCTTATTCTTACTGAAGGAGAAGGACCAAAATGAGAGTAGACAGTAGAGTGGTGGGGTAGAGAGTGTAGAGTAGAGTGGTGGTATGTTAGGGAGAGAGAGTAGAGTGGTGGTGGGGTAGGGAGAGAGAGAGAGAGAGAGTAGAGAGGTAAGGAGGGAGCGAGAGAGAGGTAAGGAGGGAGCGAGAGAGAGGTAGGGAGAGAGTGAGAGAGAGGTAGGGAGAGAGCGAGAGAGAGGTAGGGAGAGGGCGAGATAGAGGTAAGGAGGGAGCAAGAGAGAGGTAGGGAGAGAGCGAGAGAGAGGTAAAGAGTGGGCGAGATAGAGGTAGGGAGAGAGCGAGACAGAGGTAGGGAGAGGGCGAGATAGAGGTAGGGAGAGAGCTAGAGAGAGGTAAGGAGGGAGCGAGAGAGAGGTAGGGAGAGGGCGAGATAGAGGTAGGGAGAGAGCGAGAGAGAGGTAGGGAGAGGGCGAGATAGAGGTAGGGAGAGAGCTAGAGAGAGGTAAGGAGGGAGCGAGAGGTAGGGAGAGAGCGAGATAGAGGTAAGGAGGGAGCGAGAGAGAGGTAGGGAGAGAGAGAGGTAGGGAGAGGGCGAGATAAAGGTAAGGAGGGAGCGAAAGAGAGGTAGGGAGAGAGCGAGAGAGAGGTAGGGAGAGGGCGAGATAGAGGTAAGGAGGGAGCGAGAGAGAGGTAGGGAGAGAGCGAGAGAGAGGTAGGGAGAGGGCGAGATAGAGGTAGGGAGAGAGCGAGATAGAGGTAAGGAGGGAGCGAGAGAGAGGTAGGGAGAGAGCGAGAGAGAGGTAGGGAGAGGGCGAGATAGAGGTAGGGAGAGAGCTAGAGAGAGGTAAGGAGGGAGAGAGAGAGAGGTAGGGAGAGAGCGAGAGAGAGGTAGGGAGAGGGCGAGATAGAGGTAGGGAGAGAACAAGAGAGAGTAGAGAGGTAGGATTTCACTTTGCAAAGAATACCCAATCATGTTAAAAAAAATAGGAATTTTGATTGGATGATTAAAGCTATCCCAAACTTCACCTCATTCACTACGATAAGAGGAAATTCACTTTCAAAGCAAAATGCTCGACTCTTTTACTAAAAAAGGGTCTGTTGAAGCAATCATACATGGAAAAGTAGCAGATAACGGTCGCGTCTTTAAGGTCTGCTTACATCTGCTGTGAATGGAATGGATGTTTTTCTCTAAAAAATGTCCATCCCCCTACGCAGTTTACTTAAAGTAGTTTTTGTCCACGTTGAGTAATGTCTTACATTTCAGCAGCAGACTAATGTTAGCAATGACATCACGGCACGTGGAATGGAGCCAAGAGATTCCCACCGTCAGTTCAGCACTTGGAGCCAAACAACATGACTCCTATCATCCAGTCACCGGGAACTGGGGAACAAGTTATTAAGAAAAATCATAAAAGCATCGAGGGATAAAAGATGTTTTGCCATTTATTAGGTCTGGTGTATTCATGGCAGGGAACAGCTCTGTGTCGTCTTGACTGGCAGTTGGACAATTTGATCTTCTGCCAGAGGCTGAGCTGGTCTGAGAGTCTTCATTATAGTTTGTTAAGTATCTTAAGGGTCAGTTCACACCATAAGCAGTGCGTTCCGGTCCGATTCTGGACTCGTATTGCGGCCGGCTCACTTTTTTGCCAGGCAGGAGGGGGCGTTGTGGGTCATTGAAGTGAATGGCACCTTAGCCACGCCCTCCGGCCGCAATGCGATCGCCCGCACAGGATCGCAGGGCACATTGTGCCTGCAGTCCAGTCCGGTGAGGTGCGGTCAAAATGCTGCTAGCACTATATTGACCGCACCGGACCACAGGCACAATGTGCCCTGCGATCCCGTGCGGGGCAATCGCATTCCCCCTCCAGCCCCACAAAATA